CCAGCACTGTTCCCATCCCCCCAATTCACCAATAAAAATCTTTAAAAAAAACAAACAAACAAACAAAAAAACAAGCAGGGAAATAATACTATGCGAAAATGCTCTTCTTCCTTCAGCAGAGTAGGAGAAATCATCTATGCACTAATTCTAAAAAGAGCACTAGAGAAAGGCATGTGCAGAAAAAGAAGAAAAATCAGGGTCAGGACACAAGAAAGCCAGGGAGCTCGGATCAAATATGCTGCATGAAAAGTACTTGGTGGTACCCAAGAGAGTTAGAAGTCACAGCAAAAGCCAGCTTATCCAACGTCCTGTAGCTCCCTCTATGGTTCAGGTTATTTGAGCAGTTCAGTTTGCCTCCTGAGGTCCTTTTGAAAATATTGAGTATTCACTATTTTTTTCTGTTTTTACAAAACTGAAAATAATTTATACCAGAATTGGAAGAAAAGTATGAGAGAACTCCGTGTATCCTGAATTTACTTCTTTGTGTTTTGCATCTATTTCTTTGTATATTTTATCATTGTAGGCACTCAGTATGTATCTATTGAATGTGTAAAATAATTACTTACAGTTAATCAGGAAGCAATCAAATTATTTATTTTCTGGTAGGACTTACACAACCTTAGCAGGCAGGAAGGATTCTTAGGGATTAGCTAGAACAATGCCTCATTTCATTTATGAGGAAATTGGATCCCAATTTTATTAAGTAACTTGCCTAAAGTCATACACACAGTTATTGATACAGTGAAGAAAGAAGTTAGTCAACCGGTTCAAAGTTATGTATATGTTACATCATTTTCTCATTTAAGAATATCAGAAATCTATAATCATTGCTATTATTATTTTCATCACCAGCCACTATTTGTTATGTTCAATACCATCTTTAATTTGACAAACATACTGTAAGAGATACGTATTATTCTCATTTAAAAGTTAAACAAGTCAGAAGTAACACAGGTGGTGTGAGGTGAATGAGTCAGGGTTCAAAGGTAGATTCATCTGAGTCAAAGCCCATGAACTTTTCCATTTCACGTCATTACTTCCTCCAAAGCGACAGTTTTTAATTTCTAAATATACCTGAATTTCAACATATAAGCTCAATTATAAGACTATGCTTGACTTAAAACATTTTAACAATACCTTATTGTCTACTTTGTAAACTGTAAATTTACAGATATTGAAACAAAAATCTGAAATGTTCACTAGACATATAATCTGCAAATGTAAAGAAGTATGTGTTTGCTACGGAAAATTGGGTAGATTATCTTCCAAGGGTGGCATCTAATACATCTAATATTATGGTGCTGGCCTTTCAGGCACAGAAATCCAATTCTGTCATCACACTTAAAGAAGACTCTCAAGGTTAGAGTCACATTAATAAACTTTACAAAGAGTGATCTATAAAATCAGAATGTCAGTTTATCAATTATGAGAAAAAATCTAACGTAAACTAGAATGCTGTAAGTCTGAAGGACCAATTCTCTCCCTGTAGACAAATTACATGGAAGTCAAATAACAGAAAGTTCATTAGTGATCATTCAATCAGACAAATGGAATGAGATCAACTGTATCATGGCACAGACTGAAACAGATTGGTGTATTCCTTTCCACAGTAAGAAGGACCTTTTCAATGGGACCAGAATACTTACATTCTTCTAACTAAAACTCTCCCTTTGTCATAAACACTGCGTCAAGTAATTCCTTGGCCAAGGGCTTTATGAGGAATACAGTATTACTTTAAATAAGTTCATATAGTAAATTACTTCTGGTCTGGGAGCCATTTTGGTTTTTAATGTAATTTTACATTACTCTGCTCTGATAGAAAATACATACTTCATTGACTTTGTAACCAGTCTTATTGCCAAGTTCATAAAAGTGCCCCAAGTATTACTACTGCTATTACTACTACTACTAGCTAACATAACAACAGCTAATATTTGGGTGATATATATTAAACCTTATGCTAAGTGCTTTATGCATAATATCTCATTTAATCTTTGTCACATTCTATAAGTTACGTATTAGTCTCATTTTATAAAGGAAAACATTAAAGTTTTCAGAGAAAATGTAAATTGCCAAGGTCACACAGCTAGTAAGGGGAAGAAACAACATTTGAATCCGGTCTGACTCTAGAGCTGATACTCTTATTCACTACAGTATTCTACAAAACACTTTTGTCATTGCAAACCTAGTTCTGGTTGCTAGACTCCTAATATACACTGCATTTAAGGGCGGAAAAAAACCTCTTAAGTTCCTGAAAAAACTCTGTGTATCAAAGATATGCAAGCTGTTATATTATTTTAAAAATAACATAAAGCAGATGATGCTGTTAATATTAACTGACTCATTTAACATTTGTTGAGTGCCTACTGTGTGCCAGCACTGCTCCAGGAGCTGGAGATACAGCAGTAACAAAAGCAATGTCCCCGCGCTCTTGGAGCTTATATTTGGTGGAGGGAAAAGGGGAGGGAAAGCGAAGGAGAGACAAAAAGTAAACAATATAAATATATTAGATGGTGTTAAGAGCTATGGAAAAAAATAAAGCAAATAAGGAAGATAGAGAGTAGAGCAGAGGAAGAGGGAAGATGGTATTTTACAAAGAGAAGACAAGCAAGGCTTCTTCTCTGATAAGGCAACAACTGAAAGAGATGAGGAAGCAAGCTAAGTAGATATGTGAGGGAAGGCCATGCCACGTGGGCAAGTTCAAAGGCCCCGAGGTAGAATTAAGTTTGCTCAAAGAAGAGTGAGAGGCCAGCACGGCTGGAGCAAAATGAACAGTGGGGGGAAATGGACTGCGATGGCTGTGGAAAGATTGCAGGGGCTAGATCACACAGACCTCTAAATGGGTAGACAGTAAAGAGACCAGTAAGAAGACGACTGTAAAAATTGAGCCTAGAGAGATGACGACTTGAACTAGACTGATCACAGTGGAAGTGATAAGAACTGGTCAGATTCTGCACGTATCTGGACAGTAGAATGACAGCAAAAGAAAAGATTGCAATATAGAGAACTGAACTATTGAAATGCAAACTTTCTTTGTCATTTATACAGTATCAAGCACTCTAAAAAATGAAGTAGAAATATAAGACGACTTACTTTACCAGTCAATGTATTTATTTCCCGTTCAGCTTTATGCAATTTATTGATTAAAACAGTATTTTGTTCATGGCTTGATTGTAGCTCTTTTTCCAAGCGTTCAGCCTGCAGTTTAGCTGATTGTTTTTCAGCCTGTTATTAAAACAAATATTTTAAAACTTGTTTGTAATTTTTCACAATTACATAAAAATAAAATAAGCATTATTTAAAATACATGTATAATAAGACTACACAAAATTATTCAAAATCTGAACAATATTAATGCATACCAAAGTAAAAAGAGTTTTCTCAAAGTATTTGGTAGATTTCAAATGAAAGATGTTTGCCCCAGGAAGTACGCAACAAAGCTATCTGGAATAAACAACATATCAAGCGCCACCAATGAAATAAAACTCATACACTTCTCTTATGAACACACTCACTTGATATCTATTCACTCTTATTACTGACATAATTCAAACAAACATTCTGGAGGGTTTCAAATCCAAAGCAGGTATGAAAAAGCATATCAGAAGTACAAAAGAGGATTCATTTATAGTAGTAAGAACTGAACATCTAAAATCAATGGAGATTTTAAAAAAGAGATATAAAAATTCAAAATAATTAATTTGGGACCTCTGGAAGTATGGGTAAAGAGCTCAATAGCTCTTATCCATATCACATAATAAAGATTCTTTTTTTTTTTTTAAAGATTTTATTGGGGAATTGGGGGAGGGAAACAGCACTGAGGAATTGGGGAACGGGAACAGACAAGTTGCTGTCCTTTTGTTCTTCAGTCTAGTTGTGGAGAACGTCGCTTCACTGGCCCATGTTGGTATTATCATTGCGCTCTTCCCAGGTGAGGCAGTCGCTCGCCAGCCATCGGACGGCCGCTTGCGGTGGCTCACAGCCAGCTCACGCCCGCTGCCAGCCAGCACTACTGCAGCCTACGCTGTTGCAGGCGACTCACGGCAGCCCAGCTCCATGTTGAGCTGCTGTTCACCATCTTAGCTGTACAGGGCAGTGTCACTGGCCTTCATGTGGGATCCAAACCGGGGCCCTGCAGCTCAGCGCTGGCGTCCCAAGCCAACTCCTAACCAACGTGCCACTCAGCCGGCCCAGAAAGATTCTTAATAAAGTCTGTAAGTTATCAAAAACCATTTCTGGTTGGTAATACTCATAGTACTCCAGTTAGGGAGGAAAAACTAAATGCTTTTTAAAAATATTTCTACTGAAAATAGTTAAAAACGTTTGGCATTTAAAGGGTAAGCTTCAATTTTGTAACATCTCATTTCCTATATATCTTAAATGTAAGGAATGTATTCAAATAATTCAGAAAAAAACTATTTTCCTCAAATATAAAATGATACTTTCTGGGCACAATAGTAGTCAAAAAAGTCAAAGAAGAAAGAAATACTTGCTGTCGTGTGCTTATTTTCATTTCAGCAGGCAAATGATAAAAAATTAAATATAGGCTCTTAAGAAACTGTCACAATCAACTTCCCATCTTTTGTCATCATTTAACTTGTCCTGAAAATAATCACTCTAAATGACCTCAATGAAAATTTTCACACTGGGACCATATACTATATTCAACTGCAGTCGCCCACTTAGTCTGTCACTGTGTGAACACATTAAGAATGGCAGGACGGCAACATAAACAGTCTCATCCTGAACTGCCTCACATCTAAGGTCCGATGATACTGACAATCTTAGTTCAGGACCAGTAAATACTATCAAAAGTTTCATCCAAAAAAATAAAAAGATGACTTCTCTTCAAAACATATCAATATATTCCTTGTACCAGTTTGTTGGCTGGGGGGAAAAAAACACTATTTTGGAATTGGATATTGGATTTTAATTACAAAGTAGGTGCCCACTAATTTCCCTCCAACTCAAATCATTTCACAACTATCTGAATGAAAAAACAAAACTCTTTGGACGGCTCAAAATAAATCAAAGCAATCAAACTAGTATATTTGCTACCTGTCAGATACCAAGAACTAGGAGGAGTAAGCAAATCTGCAAAGATGGGAAAGGATCTGAATATCTTGCCATTGTGGCAGAAATTATTTTGAGCTGAACATGTCTGAGAATCAACAGACATAAAAAAAGGTTTTTTTCCACAACTCATCTTATCTGCCTAAAAACAAACACTCAAGAAAGAATTTAACTGCTCTAAATTCCCTCCCCGGGGTTTCATAACTGACTCCTATCACAGGAGAGAAGTCAGCATCAGGATAAGAAATCACCTAAATAGACATTGTCACAAAACTGTGTTATCTCCCACCTATTTTCCTAAAGGTCTGTTATCTTTCCTAAAAGTCGTTTGTTTTCCCATAAGTGCCCGTTCATCCTCTCTCCTTTCCCAAATTCTAACAGCCTATTTGTGGCACATTTTTCTGTGAACTCCCATGTACATACATGAATAAAAACCTGTGTTTTCTCTTACTAATGTCTCTTGTCAATTTAATTCACAACCCCTAACCACTGAACCTAAGAGGATGAAGAAGAAGTTTTTCTTCTCCAACAATGGAAACCAAGGATTTTCAGTGGAGAGTACCTCGGGAACACCAGTCTAGCTCTGCCAGTGCTTATCTTTCTCTAATGAACCCCGGGAAATAATTCGGTGAAGCCTTGCATGCATTAGTAGCCAAGATGAATTTTATTACTCTGGCAAAAGCTGTCATAAGATATGTAAGCCTGGTATTTCTGTTTAAACAGGACTTACGATTTTAACATCTTGAATTCCAGTATAAGGAAATAACTATCTAGGAAGAAACTGTTCTTTCTGATTTGAATGACTTTAATTTTCAGAAATTCAAATACATTGTTTTGGATTCTGCATATTCTACTCTGTGGCATTACAAGAGTTAAATCATTTTAGATAGGCGAATTGGCTCTCAAAGAAGGAATAATCCCTTTCTATATGTGTTGCATAGCTACTGCTTATGAATCAATAGCTTTCCTCTTTACAAAAAGAAATATACTCTTGGGATTCTACAAATGCATCAGCATTAGATTGGTAAACATACATTTATGCTCTAAAATTCAAAGGTCTATCAACTGCTCTTTAAAAAAAAAAAAAGTATGCGATCCTCTACCGGGAAGCAATTAAAACCTTACCTCCAGGGATCTGACTGTAGCCTGCATCTCAGCCAACTGTCGCACCTGAATTCTTTGGACATTCTCTACCTGAGCGCCAGAATTCTCTTTCTCAGCCCTTAATTCTGCTACTTCAGCCTGTAAACCTTTTATTTTCTGACTCAACTGGACGTTTTCTTGACCAAGCTGCTCCACTCGTTTGCTGTCTTTGGTGGGGTCAACGCCCAGCAACTGGTTATGCAGCTCTTCTTTATCTCCTTCCAGTCTTGCAATCTAATAATAATTGGAAAGAAAGCATAAAACCTTCAGTTACGGAATTTTCAGTCATGAACATGCTTTACAAGTCAGCAAACTAAACTTAAAAATTGCACCATGTAAAGAAGAAAGCTCAGGAGGTGAAATGCAGTTCCAATGAGAAAAAAACACGTCACATTCTTCATTCTGTACTCAGCAGGACTGAAATGGAGGGCGAGTACCTGGTCCTGTTGTCCCTCTATCTGCCCCCAGTGTCTGGCTAGCAGAGGGCTTCACCAGGTGCCGAATAAAATTCAAAACTATAAGTATGATAAAAATTATTATTAAAAATGTCAAGTATTTTTAAAACCATCAGAATATTCTAGGCGTTTGCTCAAGATAAACATGCTGATTACTGCCTTTCCTCATGTGACAGTAATTCTTGGGCTATGTCTGTGCTAATAAAATGATCTATTCCAAAGCAACTTGATTCACAAATAAGCTGCTTCTCCATATAAATAACTACAAATGTGACTGATGAGTGTTTTCAAATGATAGCTGAGAGTTTATTAAAGCCCTAGATGTAATGATGCCCTAGTTCCTAATTGTCAGATTCAAGAAAGAACCGAAAATCATTACTCCAAGGCATTTGGAAACGTCATCAGGGAACCTGCAGAGCAGAAACACCAGTGGTCTTCCCATTCACGCCAACCATCCCTCTCAGATCCCACGGGCCTCCCAATGCTGGAACGAGGGGGCCAGGTCATCACCGTCAAACTCGGTGTTTCCCTTTCCTGCTTTCCCGAAAATCTGTCCCCTACCACCACCACCAAACCTTTGTCGCTAGAGCTCCTTTTCTTAGTCTCTTTTTATATGAGGTTTCTTCAGAGGATTCAACTTCCTTTAAAGAAAGGATTCAGCTACTGTTCTTTTAAAAAAGTTAGAAACCACTGCTCTAACCACCCACCGGGGGTTGTTTGTAGCTAGACTGAGGGAGCTTAGAAGGCTTGCTCTTAAGCCAAAATAATGTTCTGCAATCTAGGTAAAAGCGGCCCAAGAGACAAATGATTGCTCAGTTGCTATAAATGAATCTAAGAAGTATGGGACCCCTCCAGGGCAGAGTCTGTTTTCTTCATCTGTATAGTGAGGTTAGACTGGAGGCCCTCGAAGATCCTCCTCTGTGTTAACGTGTAGTGATTCCAATTTGGTTTTGGAAAAG